GGGACTCGATCCCGGGACTCCAGGATCATGACCTGAGCCGAAGGCAGTCGCTCAACCAACTGAGCCACCCAGGCGCCCTAAAATGCTGTATTTTTGTATATAACCTTTTAAATATGGAGTTAGGGTACCTAGGCTCAAATTTCATCTTCAGTATTCACTGTGACCATGGATAGATTACATTTACTGCAATTCTGTGTCCTAATTTCCTCATCTAGTAAATGGGAATGAGAATAGTACCGCCCTCATATGGCTGTGAGGATTAGATGACGAAGTATGTAGTGTGCCTACTTTAAACATGTTTGGTACTTACCAAACCACCAAATGTTAGAGGCCACAGTCGTGCGGGGTATGAAGAACGAGGTATTAGTGTGAGATCTGGTGGAAGGCTTGGGTTAATTCCTAGATAATGCTAGATGGATTACATTCATGAATAAGCTCCATGAGGGAGGGCAATAGGGTTACATGGCATGAAGCCTCAAGATAGTATTTTTGAAAGAGTGCTGAATACCAATTTAGTATATGTCACATTGCTGAAAAGCAACAGCAAAGCCAAATTACTTTATAAAATTTGGTTGGGCTTCCAAAGTATTTATGGGAAGTATTCAGAGGGAAGTAGGATTGTCTCTTAGTAATTAAGGACCTTTAAAATAATCCCTATCTTCCTCAATAGCAAATATTTGAGCGTAAGGAAAAGAGATAAATTTTTTTTGTTTAAATGTCACGATTTTCAACCCAAGACATTCATGTCACAACTGTATATTATCTTGCTTTTATACTATGCTTGGTATCATAAGGTTAAGACTACAGGTCACCAAGCAAAACTTGACAGTGAGCCCTTTCTTCCCTGCTCCATCTCCACGGTCTCCTCAGAAGCTAGGAGTGCATAATAAGTAATAATGTACATGAATAGGTCTCTTTTAATTTCTCAAGTAACACAGGTGCTATGTCAAAGGTCAACCTATTATTACTGCCTTTTTGTCCCCTTCCTTTCACAAATAAAAATCTTGTATTTGTTGGGGTGCCTGGGTGGCTCAGTCGGTTAAGCGTCTGCCTTCAGCTCAGGTCATGATCCCAGAGTCCTGGGATCGAGTCCCACATCGGGCTCCCTGCTCCTTGGGAGCCTGCTTCTCCCTCTGCTTCTCTCTCTCTCTCTGTCTCTCATGAATAAATAAATAAAATCTTATATTTGTAGCATCTCATATAGATATGCTTAAACACATGTGTCATATATATGATTTCACATGTATAGATATCTTATATTTTTCCAAAGAGATAAAGCCATGAAAGACAATAAAAAAAGGAAAACCAGAATTGATGTGAAGATACACAAGCAATCATAGGAAGGTGGATTTTACATTTTAATAATCCCTATTGCTAATAGAGGATCCATTTATACAAAACATATACAAACTATATGTCATTTAGCAAATCAAATATGGATACCAGAGAAGTAGACTTAAGAGTTTGTTTTTTAAAAAATACACAGTTGAGGGGCACCTGGGTGGCTCAGTCATTAAGCGTCTGCTTTCGGCTCAGGTCACGATCCCAGAGTCCGGGGATCGAGCCCCGCATCGGGCTCCCTGCTCCGCGGGAAGCCTGCTTCTCCCTCTCCCACTCCCCCTGCTTGTGTTCCCTCTCTCGCTGTCTCTCTCTCTGTCAAATAAATAAAAATTAAAAAAATATATATATACAGTTGACCCTTGAACAACATGGGGGGTTAGGGGCACCAATCCCCCACACAGCTGAAAATTCATGTATAACTTTTGACTCCCCAAAAACTTAACAACTAGTAGCCTACTGTTGACCAGAAGCCTTACTGATAACATAGTCAATTGACTCATATTTTGTACGTTATACAAAACAGTGAAGGGGCGCCTGGGTGGCTCAGACGGTTAAGCGTCTGCCTTCAGCTCAGGTCATGATCCCAGAGTCCTGGGATCGAGTCCCACATCGGGCTCCCTGCTCCTTGGGAGCCTGCTTCTCCCTCTGCTTCTCTCTCTCTCTCTGTCTCTCATGAATAAATAAATAAAATCTTTAAAAAAAAAACAAAAAACCAGTGTTACACACTGTCTTCTCAAAATAAAGTAAGCTAGAGAAAAGAAAATCTTACTAATAAAGTCATAAGGAAAATACTTCTATAGTACTATAAAAAAAATCCATGTATAAATGGACACATGCAGCTCAAACCCATGTTGTTCAAGGGTCAACTGTAGATTTCTTTTAAACTTTGTTAAACTGCGGAAATAGTACAGGGATAATTTGTCCTTTTTCAATAGTCTATACACAGCAAAAATGTCACCCCCTAATTGAAACATAGAAACCAACCACGAGTAGATTTGGCATGTCAGAATACTTTCTATGCTACCAAGAGAGTATTTTTTTCATTATCTGAAGGGAAATTAAATGTATGGGCAGTTCATCTATGAAGGCAGTCTCTATCAGAACAGTCTTCAACCTATATGCCTTTGAAAACCAAGGATTTCCTATCTGGAGATCACAAAATTTGAATTTTTCATTACTATGATAGCCATGGTAAAAATTAATCTTACACATTTTAAAGCTCCAGCTATCATGCAATTTAATGTAAATATTAATGATTAAAAGATGGCTTTTCAACTTTAAAGTTGCTCTCTTCCTCAAATCAAGTTACGATACCCTGAGTGCCCAAAGGGCAATATTCCAGTTATGTTAGCAACCACATTACTTAAAAAAACCTGTCCTTCGCCCTGCAAGCAAACTTGTTTCCCATTAAAAATAAACTTTAAAAAGCAGACCTTCCCAAATCTTCTTCCAAACTGATGATGTGGCTGCTTGCAGCTGATTTTGACTGACTGCTTCAAGAGACAGGCCCAGACGAGAGGACTCAGGGACGGGTGGAGAGAACAGTGCTTTGCTGAAGTGGTCTAACAAGCTCTCCTGAGCAGCTGAACAGCTTGCCACTGCCCAGGATCGTTCACTGGTCAACATGTTCGGATCCAGTTAATTGTTAAAATGGGGATCCTTGGAAGGATTTCTCATTAAAAAAGAGAAAAAGGTTGGTAGCCTCTTTGCATCATTTCCAAGCATAACAAGAATTTGTTCCTGGCTATGTTAGCATCAGCTGCAGAACACGTAGAGGAAGATGCAAACAGGAGGCAGGTAGCATGTTGGAAACAACAGTTATCCAGGAAGAAAAGTTAGTAGGGAGAGAAATTAAATGAGTTAGCCTTCAAACCCTTTGCGATACTAAAATAGATATAGCTGCCCATAACACATCCCTAGGGGTGTAGCATTCATTATCTGAACAGGTGCAACAGCAAGAATGAAACAGGCAAATAGCAAAGGGAGATATTATCATGAAAATGTTCAGGGTCAGCTATTTTTATTTCCGTATGTTTGCCATGCATTTATCTATTTAAGCAATAGGGAAAATAATTTGCTTACCAATTACTGTTAAAAGACATAAAAATGTGGCGACGGCTGATGTTCCATAAAACATGGTACTGATATTACAAGCCAGAAGATCTGTGTTATTCTGTGTGTTGGGCACTAAAACTGGTGGTAGCAAAAAGCCAACTGCAGTTCCAAGCTGTAAAATAAACAATCCTGTTAATAGCTATTATTAATAAGAGGGAAAAAAAAAAGGACATACTGGCAGTTAATATAGAGAAGAACAGCTAGTGTATTTAAGGTGTAAGGTGTACATTCTAAAGCACCATGTTCTGGGATGCTGGGCTGGCTCAGCTGGAGGAGCAAGGGACTCTTGATCTCGGGGTCGTGAGTTCGAGCCCCACACACCGTGTAGAGTTTACCCAAATAAATAACTATTTTTTAAAAAAACCCACCATGTTCTAATGTTTGTTTTTTTGTTTTTTACTACAGTACTGTTAAATGGTAGTTGCTCCTACTCTTGGACTGATTCTGCTGTAAGGATGTAAGATACCCTTCTTACCTTTTAGATGCTTGCAATCAAAAAGAAGAATAACAATATGCAGAGTAAGGCTGAGAAAAGATGATATACAGAACGGGAGAAAATAGTTGCAAATCCTATGTCGAAGAAGGGTCTACCATCTAGAATATATAGAGAACTCTCACAACAACAAAAAGACAAACATCCAATTCAAAAATGGGCAAAGGACTTGAATTCACATTTTTCCAAAGAAGATACACAAATGTTCAATAAACACGTGAAAAAAAATGCTCAACATCATTAATCAGTAGGGAAATGCAAATCAAAACCATAACAAGGTACGACTTCATACCCACAAGGATGGCTATAATAAACAAACAAACAAAAAATTGGAAAATAACAAACCTTGGCAAGATGTGAAAAATAGTAGTTGCTCCTACTATTTGAATGATTCTACTGTAAGGATATAAGATACCGTTCTTACCTTTTAGATGCTTGCAATCAAAAAGAAGAATAAGAATATGCAGAGTAAGGCTGAGAAAAGATGATATACAGAACGGGAGAAAATAGTTGCAAATCCTATGTCGAAGAAGGGTCTACCATCTAGAATATATAGAGAACTCTCACAACAACAAAAAGACAAACATCCAATTCAAAAATGGGCAAAGGACTTGAATACACATTTTTCCAAAGAAGATACACAAATGTTCAATAAACACGTGAAAAAAAATGCTCAACATCATTAATCAGTAGGGAAACGCAAATCAAAACCATAATGAGATACCACTTCATACCCACAAAGATGGCTATAATAAACAAACAAACAAACAAAAAACTGGAAAATAACAAACGTTGGCAAGATGTGAAAAAATTGCAACCCTTGTACACTGCTAGCAGGATTGTAAAACAGTGCATCCACCATGGAAAACAATTTGGCAGTTCCTTAAAAAATTAAACATAGAATTCCCATATGACCTAGCAATTCCACTCCTAAATAAATACCCCAAACACTAAAGATAGGTATTCAAACAAATATTAAATATTATACGTGAATATTCATAACAGCCCTATCTGCAATAGCCAGAAGGTAGAAACAAACCCAAAAGTCCATCAGTGGATGAACGGATAAACAAAACGTGGTACACCCATATAATGAAATATTATTCAGCCCTAAAAAGAATGAAATATTACCATGGATGATCTTTGGATGAACTTTGAAAAACATGCTAAGTGAAAGAAGCCAGACATAAAAGGTCACATAGTGAATGATTCCATTTACATGAAATATCTAGAACAGCTAAATCCATGGAGAGAAAAAGCAAATTAGTGGTTGTCAGGGGTCAGAAGAAGGGGTGAATGAAGAGTGACTGCTTAGTGTTGGGTATTGGGTCTTCTTTGAGGGTGGATGAAAATATTTTGGATCTAGATAGAGGTGATGGTTGTGCAACCCTATGAATGCACTAAATGCCACTGAGCTGTAATCTAAGATGGTTAATTTTATGGTTAATGTGAATTTCACCTCAGTAAGAAAAACATAAGGTTGAATATGATAATCACAATGAAAGAAATAAAATTAAAGTATTAAAGGAGCTCAATGGAGAAAGATAACAGGGATGGAGATGAGAAGGAAGGGCCCAAGATTGATTTCCAAAAGGAAGAGTCACCAAACACTTCATTTGCTCCTTTACAAAAAGCTGGATAGAGACCATTAAACAGGTAATTACAAGAGAGTTTGGTAAGTACAGTGATACAGTGATGGAGAGGTAGAGGGTGCTAAGACTGGAATGATCACGTGATGTATCATCCAAACGAGAACACTATTCAAAGTGAAAGGGACTAAATGAGTAGTTATCCTAATGAACAGCTCCACACCTGGATTATCCCAGGCAAACTGGAACATACAGTCACCCTAGCTAAGAAACTACTTTGAAGGAGCACTTTGTATAGACTTGGGGTTCAGGAAAAGTTTCTGGAGGAGCAAAGATCTGAAGAAGAAACTGGAGTTAGCCAAGTAAAATCAGTGTGTTCCCAGCCAACGGCCCATCATGTACAAAGGAAGGAGGAGAGCATGACCTTGTGAGAAGCTGTAAGTAGTGGACAATTCCCCTCAGAGCAGAGAAAAAATGTGGATGTGAGGAATGGTGGGGTGTGGAGAGGTGAAGCCGAAGAGCTGACAGGAGGGAGATCCAAAAGGACTCACACTGTCTCATTAGACAGTTTGAATTTTATACTCAGGGCAATGGAAGCCACTGCAGAGAGCAAGGGAGTGTCCTGGACAGATTTGCACATCAGAAAGACCACAGTGGATAAATGTGAAGAGTAATAGGAAAAGTGCAAGAGCTGCAGATAGGAAAGTCAGCCAGCAATCTCAAGGTAAGGGCTGCCGGTGGCCAAAGCCAAGATAGAGGCAGCAGAAATGAAGAGAAATGAGCTAGGAGACCAGGTACATTTGGATGGGTGGCAGCATATGGAATTATCAGCTAGCCAGTATCTAAAGCTGAGTCTAAAGCTCACTCATTTATTCAACCAATTTGTATGGAGCATCTATAACGTGCTGGGCACTGTATTAAATGCTGGTGAGATAACTGTATACATTCAGACCACATGCCTATTTTCATGAAACTTACAATCTAATGGTGGGGATGGGAAATGACTAATAACAATATATAAGCATAAATATATCAGATAGTGATAAGCACCATATGGAGATAAGTATAATGATGTAATAAGAGAGTGACTGGGCAACTCTAAATGGGTTCCTCAAGAAATGCCACAAAATGATATTTAAAATGAATTTAAGGGGCGCCTGGGTGGCTCAGTCGTTAAGCGTCTGCCTTCGGCTCTGGTCATGGTCCCGGGGTCC